GTCTGCATGGCCCAACCTCGATTGAATGGAAAAGATGCTGTCCCGTTTCTATTGTATTGTTTCTTCATAGTTTACTTTTCTAGTAACCATATGCTAGCACGTCACAAAGTATTACATTATAGTGACGTCATCATATACGTATCTGTTGTCATAACATAAATGAGAAAACAAAAAGTAATCATGGAAGATGTCACACGCTTTGGAATAAAAACAATCTTAATTTTCATATTGATATGTGGATACCTTCTCGGATTGTTGTTATTTTGTATTCAGATGGTGACTTCGTTATCGTAAGTTATACAAATTAGTGTGAAATCGTCATCTCGGGGTTCCTTTTATCGAACTGTAAAGATACTGCCTTGTTTTGAAATGCTTCAAATGACATCTAGAAAACTATGTTACCCACAGTACTTAAATAAACACAGTGTCTTCCATGCTTGAATCTCCCCTGCGTGAGAAAGTATATTTTCCTTTGAAAATACTTAAGGTGGGGAACATAAAACAATTGTTCAGTATATTTAGATACTATAGTATTCAAAAGACTTGAACCGTGCTACCGTTTTAACGATTTCAAAAGTTCATATGCGAACATCTAAGCTTGAAATTCAGATGTCTTTTAATATTATTTTTAGTGAAGCACAGCGCCTTGAAGCAATAGATGCGGTGGTTGCTCATCATGATCATTTGAGTATTGGTGGTATTGCTCTATGCCCCTTTTGTTTGATAGCTTCCTCATATCTTCGGCAAGTATTTTGATAGTCTCACTACATGTATATGTATTACTACAGTACATAACACCATTTGCCTATTATTAATCACCGATCCACAAATATATGATAGGAGCGTCAGTTTGTTAAACATGTTACATTGTATAGGCTGGCTTTCTCATTGTTAAAATTCCCTTTAGTTTGGACCTATTGGTTTTATAAACGTACTTTAGGGATATTTTGCCAAGATGGTTACGATGTCTTGTTAATGATAGTATTTCATTTATGTACAGTATATTCATTTTGTGTTGTTTTTAAAGGTTGGGCAATATTCTTACCACTTTGACAAAGATCGATTTTTCCACAGATGTAGTTCACATATTTAACTGGAGATTGAGTGACAATAGAGATGTCGCATTTCTAACTTTCGATCAGTTTAGAGGTGAGCATTGATCATCATACATAACACGTTTAAAAAATATAATTAGATCATGCCTAAATCTTGGGTTGTTTGTCAGGAATTCAAGATATCTCAATATCAATTACGTTAACTGGCAAAGACAGATAGTAACCTCAATGACCACTCAAAAACTCAAAAGCTCCATGTTGAATATAAATTAAATATTATAAGTTATTGAATGATTTGAAGTGCAATACAGGATATATTCTGCTCGAGAATTCCGTATTGGAACGAGACGAGGTCGAGTGCCAATACAGAATATCGAGACAGAATATATCCTGTATTGCACTTCAAATCATTCGATAACGTTTTTATCGTGTGGTCGTCTGTATTGCTACTCAGATTGTCCCCTCCGTACCAATATTTTCTGTATTGCGACAGAGATGATCAACGGAGACAATCTCTGTAGCAATACAGGTTGGTACAGCACAAGAACTGACCAATCAGAGGGCTTCATTTTACAGATCATACGATAAATTTTATTCCAGATAACGTATTTGCGCCCATTAAGCCATACTGGCAGGTATTGTCAATTGGCGTTCTGACGTTGGCGTATTTCTACATTGGTTACAATTGTCTTTTCAAACACATGATGGATGAAACCGAATTTACAGGTTTGTACAAAAGAGTATCGCATACATAGCTTAATAGTACCATAGTATCACGGGAACTTATCGAAGAAACACTTTAAAATGTCACTCTCATTTGAAGGTTATAGTTTCAGTGAAGTGCGCGCGGTGTCTGATACTATACTGGACCGATAATTACAAATAATGCCGACTCATCTTTTCAGGATATGGTGACAACGAATGCATGTCTACAAAGCCCATCGTAAGCTTCGACGGAGTTACTACTAACACAAAAAGGCGGCTAGCCATGGAGGAGTTAACCATAGAATTATTAAAGGGAAACATACCATTTTGTTCTCATAGCTCCAACTTAAACGATATCACAATAGACAATGTATTTCTAGGATGTCTTGATATGGCTCTGGATTTGAGAAAGCATCAAACTTAATAGCGTACACATATACATAAATAAAAAATAACTATATAATACTCAGTATGGTCGAAATAAACAAAACGCACAAAAAAAACATTTTAATTGATTGGTTCCGTTCTTATTCCATTCGTCATTGGTAATTACATTAACTGTTGTTTACGTCATTCCATATCGGACAAGTTTTTTGGGTTTATAAACAGCTGTGGGATGATGAGCGTACTATGTGAAAGTTTGTACTACCCCAAGTTCAACGACTTCTTGAGAATACAAATATCGTCAACTTACCGGTAAGGGCAGTCTCACCGCGATATAACTCAAGTGTCCTACAGTAAATCCAAGAATGCTAGAAAGTATTAACAAAACTGTGAATATTTTTAACATTTTTATGCACACCTCTCAATTGCACTGTGGACGCTATATCGAAGAGATAATCATATTTAAAATGCTATTGTATTGCCCTTCACATTATTGAAGCCCTTACAAATATGATATGAACATACATTTATCTTGTCAATCCAAATTCCCGAAGCCCCTTATGAAATATTTTACTTGACTTATTCATTGTAAATTGACTTTTAATGATATTTTCATTTTGACATGTAATTTTGCTTTAGAGTATAAACGAAGTACAAAACGAGAACGATTTCGGCAAGGCGGGAAGTAACCTCTATTCGAGCACACTTCATGTTATCTATATACTCAAAGACATCGACATTGGCATGTTGTTAAAGAAATTCATACAACTCAGAACTGATAATTCAAATGCTATGATGTACATTTGTACAATACAGGACATTCAACATTTATCGTTCTTCACTATTTTTTATTTCGCTTCGCGATCTTCACAATCTATTCTATGTCTATTCCAAAGAACTCTTTGTAATTGTCCAGTTTAGGAAACTCATATTGTTCGAAGAGGAAGTCTCGAAGTTCCTTTGGCAAAAACTCCTCGAGTGAACTCTCGCATCGTAGTATTCTATATGACGCATCTGGAGCTGGTCTAAACAGGGCATCCAGCTTGTTTATCCTCAGTTCACGAAATGCTCTCATATTTTCCACAAAGACGGTCAGTAGACTTTCCCATTCGTAATGTGAGTTGACATCGAGAGGGTTGATAACGAACCTCGAGTAGTATTTTTTCCATTTCTCAACGAATGTCAACTTTGTCTTTTGAACGTTATGCTGTCGTACGATGCTCCGCATTATAATTTGTCTTGTGATTGTTTTGAGTGGTGGAGGAGACACCGACGCTCTTTTTATGCACTCCTTTATCTTGGCATTTTCGGCCATCTGGAAAAATCCTGGAAAATTGGTTCGGTTGAGTTGTGAAGAACCCTCTTCGGGAATAAAGATCCGCGTATAGGTTGTCTTGTCTAAGAGGAGATCGACGTCTGGAACATCGAATGCAGTAATTGGTCTTGCCGGATTAAACATGAGGTTATCGGATCGCATACTTTCGATGTAAATTCTAAATACAGATTTGCCACTTGAGTTTGTTAAATCTGGGTTTGCACCGTTGCGAAGGAGCATATTTGTGACGGAGAAATCTCCACGCAGTGTATTTATATGAGCAGCAGTATTTCCTTCATTGTTCTGTTGGTTAATATCCAGATCTTCTTTGCTAAGGAGAATTCCCACTGTTAGTACGATCTGTGATGTCTCCTCTCGAGATGTAGCGACGGCGTGGTGGAGTGCTGTATTACCAGCGTTGTCCGTTGCACCAACTTTGGCGTTTTTATCAATTAGTTTCTTAACTATATCATCGTGACAACGCCTTGCCGCGACCATCAGTGGTGTTTCCCCAAATTCATTAGTCACATCAATATCAAACTGTTCGTGCTTCAGAAATTCCTCGTTGTTCAGGAATACACCCCTTTCCACTTGATAATGCAAAAACGATATTTCATGTCCGTAATCTTTTCCGAATATTCCCTCAGTGGCGTTATTTTTCAATAAGATATTAACGCACTTACTGGCACGTATACCTAACTTAAATGCTCTGTAAATATTGTCTCCGTCGACCGACGCTGACCACCATTTCATCGGCCAATATTCCACAAGATGCTCTAGTGGAGTCTTCTCGTTATCAAGCGCATTCACATCAGCGCCCATTTTAACCAGAACTTCCAATGGACCCGGCCGAATGAAGCTTGCGGCGATATGCAGCAAAGAACAGATTCCTCCGAATTCTATACTTTCACCTTGTTTTATTCTCTCCTCATCATCGGAGGTCAAAACATCATATGTTAATTTATAGTTTGGTCCAAAACCTGCTTTCAGCATTCGCCTCTTCATCGCTTTTGGGTTGTCCAGGATGATATCAAGTAGAATGTTTTGCTCTTCCTTCAACGGCCAACCCTCTGTGCAAGCTCTTTTCACACCAGCAAAGTTTTTGTTCAAAGTCGCTATACTTATTCCATGACGTAGGCATCCCCAATGAATCGGGTGTTTACCCAAAGCAACTGAATATCTTGTTTTTCTCTTCATAGCCGAACTAATTTCTGATTTTTATTCATTAGAAAATGAACATAAATGAATCCTCACCGTCTTCAAACTGATACCCGGTAGTGTTTTCTATTTTTTGTTGATATCCAAATATGCATTGTCTAGTTTATGATTGTTACATTCATGACGTCATTTTTGTCTCTATAAACAGTCGTTGTCGTGGTGTCACTATAGTGTATCGAGTTATGTGTGTTCGTCAAAATATGATCTAAAATGAGATGATTATTTGATATTCACACATAGATAGACACGGTGTGTCCATTCCAGCCAATAAGAACACGCCATTTCATATAAATGTATTTCAATATATTTCTTAAAGCACTATGGGTCATTTTTATATTCCTGTGAAATCAATGAAACCGATAAGCTGATCAATCCATAGCTGAGTAAATAGGAGGGAAAGCAGCGCTACAGATTTCGGACAGTCATATGTTGGATTTGGGCTATTTTTGAGGATTTAAACAGTTGCATATATTAGGTTAATGCATTACTTACATGAAAAGCATTCATAGAGATGATATAATAATTTTTTATCATATGGATGACCAAATACATTTAATACTAATCATGTTGCTTAGTTTATGCACATATCACCCCAGCTACCTTCCGACCGTTGCATTCTTTCCAATAAACATATACTTTATCATATAACGTTACTGTTAATCCATCGATACAGTAATCGGCATAGTCATCCAGTTCATATAAATAGAAGTCGTCATTGCCATAATTGAAATTGCATTGACCAATATGACTCTCGTTTCCAGTACATTGTACATCTTCAATGAATGACCAATCATCCTTTCGAAATTTTCTTTCATATGTTGAAACGTTTCCATATGGTAGACCAAGCTGTTGACAAATGACCTTAGCTTCATTCACATCCCATGTTGAAGAGCATATCCTCCACCACATTCGGCCAATACGAATCTCAACTATTCCCGATTTTGCCGTTTTACCACTTCTCAGTCGAACGCTAACCTCATCGCATATAACACTTGCTCTTGTTCCATCAGGACATGATGCATTGTCACCATAGTTGAATGAACAATCAGCCAGATTGTATTCATCACCACTGCAGACAACGTCGCTCATATAAATAGCCGTACTCGGTGTCTTGTTTTGAGCATCAGGTTCGTAGGCATAGCAAGTATACTTAGAGAATGTGTCGGCTGCAGCATTCTTTGGATCATATCCTGATGATAAAACAAAGATTGTCTAAAAGTCAGCTAAACAAGTTTTGTACTTGTATTTACTAACTATAATAACCTAGTAATATAATGAATACATCACCTAAATGTCGACATGCAACTCTCGCCTCGTTGATGCCCCATCCCGTACCACAAATAAAGAATTGATCATAATATATCTTATAGTGAGTCTCGATATGCTCTGAGTTTATCACGAGAACTCCAGCATTTGAGTGGTAATCGTGCCAAAAGTAAAAACGAACTTGATCTTTAATGTCAACGAAATCTGTTAGTTCTGAAAAAGCGATAATGTAAAAACGATACAAAGCAAGTGTATATGCAGGTCTACCTTGCTCGTTTTTATTGAATGAATGACCGGTCAAAATCATTTTAGAATTGTCAAAACAACTGATGCAAATGTTATGATTAATTATGGGTTATTATGTTAAGTATAGTTTCCCTGAATATATGGTCCGTGGAACCGTACACCCTAGGACACCCTAGGACACCAGGTCTCCGGTCTCCTTGGCAATATTTTCTGTATTGATACACTCCCCTCCATAAGTTTGGCAACCTTTTTCCCCCATTGAACTACGTGTTAAAGCCTCTTTACTTTTGAATTTTTATTTACTTAACCTGCGATGAAAATACTTATGATGTTGATGGAAACGTAATTTGACTTTAATTCCAATACCTCCAAATTTTCTCAATTTTTTTCCTCAATTACAATAGGTCGAAAATTGATGATAAATTTGATGAATTTTTGAAAATCGAGATTCCCATGTTAACCAATGGGAAATGGTAGGTTTGCCGCAAGTCATATGACAGAATATCCATCCATCCGAGTCCTTGCAAAAAATACGAGTTAGGCAGGCAATTGAATTTGCTAACTTTATTTAACGAAAAATTGATATGTTTCTTCAGGTTCAACAAAGTTATAGGGCTTTAAAGTCAAAATTGTTTTTCAAAAAACCTCTCCCATTGAAATAACACAGGAGGCGAAAAATTATTTTCAAAAATGACTTTGAAGCGCTGTAACTTTAATATTCATCAAATAAACTAAACACTTAATGTTCAAAAAGGTTAGACAATTCAATTGTCTATATAAAAATATTTTTTGCTGAATCTTTTACTGAAAAGATATCCTGATTTCTGATTTGCCCCGAACCCTCCATTTCCCATTGGATTACATGGGAATGACGATTTTCAAAAATTCATCAAATTTATCATCAATTTTCGACCTATTGTAATTGAGGAAAAAAATTTAGAAAATTTGGAGGTATTGGAAATAAAGTCAAGTTACGTTTCCATCAATATTATAAGTTATTTCATCGCCGGTTAAGTAAATAAAAATTCAAACGTAAAGAGGCTTTAACACGTAGTTCAATAGGGAAAAATGTTGCCAAACTTATGGAGGGGAGTGTATACAATATAGCCCCGGACTATATTTACTGACGGACTACAGATACGTTGTCCGGCTAGATTTTGGTCCTTAGCTGTTATGTTAATATTCAATTCAATTCAATTCAATTCAATTTTTATTTATTTCATAATTCTTATATAATATACACTATAAAACAAGCCGCTAGACACCCTAGTGGGTATATGTTGCGGTTTAACAGAAATTATTAAAATGACATCTAGACTACATATTAAATGTTAGATGTCGTATTATAGTATACACTGAATTGATATGCTATATACGAATTTAAAAAACGCTGATTTCGTCCAATCACCTTTAGTATAGTGGTTAGGACAGTTTCATGTGTTGTCTGTTGACTTTGATGTGGATTGAGTCCCACTCATTCCTAATTTTTGTTATTCTTTGAGCATATTCTGCATCAAATGGAACTGAAATTGTCTTTGATTATTCTTAAGTTTCCCTTAGATAATTTATATTTAATAATGCATGTCCAGCAGACTATATATTCCGGTTATTTCTGTCCCATTTCGAATTTTCTCTCTACATGTACAGTCCTTGTTGCCCCTTTAAAGCAACTTCATTGCAAGTTTAAAGAGACTGTAAGAACTTCTCTCTCATGTGAATCTTCAAGGTGACTTCAAAGCGGCTCCTGAGTCATATTTTCTGGAGCCATTTTGCGGACACTTGGGCCACATAAGAATGCTGTTAATGGACCAGTCATTATGATAATACTGATTCTTTATGAGAGTTCCATTACAGTTACATATCGATCTTCGTCTAATGTACATTATCCATGTGGGCTCACCGTTCGCAACCATTTGAGTAATTTTGGGCATTGTTTAATTCATTAATTAATTTTAGTATTTTGGTATGATAGGGATATCTTGCTGTTAAACTCTTTGTTTTGCCAATCCTGTATCCGTGTAATGCTGGACCCGTTTCACTGGGCATGGGTTAAAAGTGCAGATCTTAACTGTTTTTCGAAATACCTTAAGTGAGAAATTAAATCGTCGATTCTGTTGTCTTCTGAACGATTTGTTCGCAAATATGTACATTTTCTTAAACATATGATACTGATTTACGTTTGTGATAAAAATGTCGTGGAAAATCTGCCTACAACGTGTGGAATAAGGAAAAAGGAAAAATCGTACTTTCGATGTTCCGACATTTTGTTACCGAAACGGTCACCAGCGTAATCGAGTGGATCACCAGTGCGTTTCCGAGTTGCCATGGAAAGCACTCTCCAGCTTATTTTGATATATCTTAGCAACGAATGTTTCAGGAAAGTTAGACAAATGTCCAATGACCAATTCAATGGTACTTTTAGACATTATTTTGTAAAGTACGTGACAGTTAAACAATATTGAATAACAGTATTACATGAACTGTCTTGTACATGTTTGTCAATGAGATAATTATTATTTTGACAACGTTCAATACATGTCCAAGGACATTTTTAATCAGAAAATATGGTCCGGAATGACGGTTAAAGAGACCATAATTTGGTTTTTATAGTCCACCCTGAACATCAAATTCTAGCAAATGGACTAAAATACCTAAGGAAATAAAGTCCATCGGCCTTGTTATTCTAGATAATATAGTCCCGGACTTTATTTTCATATTTCCATATTTACGTTGACACCGGTGTAAAGTAAATCTGATTTCATGAGGATTTAGATCCGTAGGACCATATACCCAAGGAACCACGCTCTTTTGGAGTTATTCTTCGACATGACTTTAATATTCATTCCACACCTCTTTAATTTGGCCTGGTCTTTTTGTTTTCAATTGTAATGATGATTAACTAAGAATGGTGGATGAGGGCTTGGTCATGATATTGTTTTACTATTTATAAACGTTATTTTAGCCTGGATGACTATTTTCCCTTGTTAGTCCATATTGCGTTTAAAATAATTTTTGACATTGAACTATTTTTGTCTCATCCTGCCCCGTTTTGTTTTTTATAAATGAAGTTTAGTTTAACGATTATAATGACATTACCTGGCTGTTGGTCGAAGCAGGAAATGAAATACATCTTGTAGTCATGACAATACGCTTCTGTAACACTACATCTGTGCAGGCCCTCGAAATTAAATGAGCATTCGAGTGAAATGCCTTTGGTTCGGCCTTGTTCTCGCTTTTGATCAAATGAACCGTGTGCTCCAACTTTACTATACTTATACCCCAGACTGTAGCACGCCGCTTCGGCTACATCCTTACTACTTGGGTATAATGAGTTCTTATATTTAACAATGCAAACCTTTTTCCATGTTTTCTTATACCATACTTCAAGTAGACCAGTCGAATTGCTCTGGCCTCCAACTAATCGAGGTCTCATTAATGTATCGACGCATGATATCTGTACATGGCTTGCTCCACACTCGTCTAATGCGTATTTATAATGCCAAGGACTTGCACGCCGGAACAGCGCCGTCCATTTGGTATAAGAACATTTTTTCAGACTTTTTTCGGTTCCATAGCAATTCAAATCGGTTATAATTTGCGGTGCCCAGTAAGTATCAAAAGTGTATGGTCGAAAGGGGAAACTAAAGTGAGCTTTAAAGCCCAGTTGTTTACAAACAACATGTGAAGCCCCTGTTGTCCAGTTGGTGCCACAAACACGGAACCATCTACCACTGAAACTGTCTTTCACTTCCAAAACGCCAAATGAACCTCGATTTAAACGAATTTCATCCCTCGGTTTTGGATCTAATGAAAAAAATGAGATGACTGTTATGACCGTTATTTTTTGTTCGCAAAATCGTAAATTTAATTAAAACTAACTTTAAGAAAATAGAACATATTACTCTGAAGAAAATAGAACATATTACTCTGAAGTAAATGAACATAAGTTATTATTATATACCCAATATGTAACACTAATCCTGATTGGTCAATACCTAGTCACGTGTTCCGAAATAGATTTACTATTTCCCTCGGAAAGTTATATTCCCTCAAATGTGACGTCAGCGGGAATATACATTTGAACTATTGCCCGCTGACGTCACAATTGCAAGTTCTATTACCCTTGGTAACGTCTGCGCATCATCACTGCGCAGACGAAAAACAGAAAAATGGAGGATGAGCACAAACACAAATCAACTCCGTTCACCATGACAGACGTGCGTGAACGATACAATATAAGCAACGTGTATAAAGTTCCCTAAGCTCAATACGTCTGTGTAATTTCAAGTGTTATGATAATCTATTCCGCGTGTTAAACGCGATTGAATTTGTCAAATGAGAGTCTCAGAGGCAAAAATTTCTGTTGAGCATCTGATGACGTCACAGCTTATAATGCTAACAATGGACCCGGGGAGGAGGCTTTCTAAGCCTTTTTGGCCTTCGCAGAGGAAACGGGACAAGAGTCAGTATAGGGTATATAATAAAACAAATAGTGACTGCCTAATTTCGAGCAATAGTGTAAATGATTTCCCCTTGGGAATATCCTCTACAATGTACTATTCCCTCAGCCTGCGGCTTCGGGAATAGTACATTGTAGAGGATATTCCCTCGGGGAAATAATTTACACTATTGCCCTCAATGGCAGTCACTATTTGTATATTATTAACTTTAAGAGGTTTCACGTTTTTTTTATTAAGCGATAATTCACCAATGTATAGTATTCATCCTCACCTCTTTTTGCCGATAAAAATTAAGAAAACTGGTTCATATTTAAGCAAGAAATGAACTCATCCATGCGTGAAAATGGTTCAGAAAATGCATTTCAAAATTTTAGTTCTCATAGTAACCAATGGGACATAATATATTCATCCTTTTTAACCTGTTTAGACAATCAACATTGGTTTAGTTCTGATGTTTAGCAGATTCAGAAAAGATTGACAAAAAGTGTTTTTCAACCTGAGTAGTGATGTCACGATGAGGTCACTTAGGTTGCAAAATATTTTTAATATGCATGCTATTTGGCATGCTATTAAAGCTATCTCAATCATAATCAATGCATACATCATTTCAATTTCAAACATTGAACAATGGGTAATAGAACTAAAAAAAATATTTTCTAAAACTAAAAAGAGTTACCTGATGAAACTTTCAGACATTTATGATAATTTAATTGTCAGTCAGACAAATATTTTCAATAACAGAATTATTTCATCTTTATCTTGGTACGACATTGAAATATGGGTGGTGGTACCAAAACTACTTTAGGAACACCCTATATGATATATTTGATTTCATATTTTGAATAAATTCTTACCACTAATTAGCTTACTCCTACAGGAAACACCAGACTCCAAATAACGGCATGATTCGGATTTTGATATTAAGCATACATCATAATAATAAGTATCGCATCTTACGAATTCAAGGTTCAGCGAGTGTTTATTCTTCGTTAAGTTTTTAATATTATTTATTGGTTGTGCGAATTTCCAATTCATTCCCAACTTCTTACAAACTTCCACTGCTCCTCTTGGTTCAAGTCCACGGCAAATTGAATTCCACTTTCCATCATGTAGAACTTCAACTCTACCAATTCTTGATTTAGGCTTGGTCTCAACCAATCGTAATTGAAGGTTACATGTCACTTGTAAGTCATTTTTCGCATCAAACATAAATGTTTTACCATCTGTTTCCGCCATGCTCTGTTTGCATTCCTTTATTGTCATTTCTTTTCCTTAAAAGAAATGAAATAAATGAAATAGTGTATATTTGCTACAAAGAAATATAAAGTACAGGGTGGCGCAAAAAGTTGAATCCCCAAAATTAAAGATATGCCTTTAAATTAATATCAACAATAGAATAATTAAAAATTGCTAGAAGCGAGAATTCACAAGTGGGCAATATGTCTTTTATCAACTCCAGAATAGGAAGAGGTGGGGATTAATCATCTAAGTTGTGGTCATGTTGTAATATTTTTATCCATCAAAATACCGCGGTTGCACTAGCGGATTCAGAAGCTAGCAAGCGGGGGGGGGGGCGACATAAGTCTGGAGAAAATACTTCTTGGGGTCATAAAAATATCCGCCAGTGGGTTGTAGGCATTACTCACTACATATGAAATAAAATCAATTAAGAACTGTATTTTGCTTCAACTTCATTTTCCCATTGCACTTGGTCACTTGCACTCTCGAAACTAAACTACTCTTAAAACGTAAATAAAAACATTGGAAATTGAAGTGAGTATATAGAGCCTCTTTTTTGTATGAGATGTTGAATTCAGAATAGAATAAAGTCATCTTAAAATCAATACAAATGCGCTAACTAGATATACCTGTACACGGGGTTTGCTGTACATGAACTATTGGGACACCCTGTATATATCTAACTTCTTCCAATATGAAACAGCATTGTTTGATATTATGAAACAGCATTGTTTGATATTATGAAAAAGCATTGTTTGATATTATGAAACAGCATTGTTTGATATTATGAAACAGCATTGTTTGATATTATGAAAAAGCATTGTTTGATACTATGAAACAGCATTGTTTGTTCAATTCAAGACAAGCAGTTCTTCTTTTAAATTCTTTTTGCATTTTCTTGAATGTGGTAACAGAACTATTTCTCCCCTACCCCTATATTTCAATTTCACTTATTCGATGTTGGTTGTTAGGCAAAATAATGGACCAAAATAATATTGGAATAGTATCGAGTCAACCATTTATTTATTTTCTTATAAAACACCGATTTGTATTTGTTGTATATCTTGAGACAAAAACAAGTTGATTCGTTAAATTGATTTCAATGACCCCCCCCCCCCCCCCTTGGGACCTAGTGGTATAAGAAAGTTGCAGACATTAGGGTAAATCAATCAGTTTGAATCGACGTTCAATACTGAAGCATTTCAATTTGACGTTTTGGGTTCTTGTCGTGTAAATGTCGGAATATTATGTTAGACGAATATTCTCATGTTACAACCAAAATCATCCTAATTATACCATTTTAAAATATCATATGCATCTTTCTTTCTTTCCAAACACTTTTTCTAAGCAACTAGAAGAACTTACATGGTCAACTAGTATGGTATCTGGACATTCGGGAAATTAAGTCAAATTTTCAAAGGACAAAGGTCAAGAACTAGGTCAAATTTTACATTTTCAACATTCTGTCATTTATCTCCGTCGTTATTTACCGTCCCCCATCTTTTTTCATCATGGAGCTTAGAAAAAGCCAAATCGAGAAAAAAATCGTGAATTGTAAAAACACGAGATTCATACTAGATGGAGTAAACCTGAATGAAAGCCTACAATACATGTAGGAGCGGAACTTAAAATCTGCTTTGCTGCAAAGTTGGGCAGTAAAAGCCCTAGGTAAAGATCTAGGTCAAATTTATAGTTTTTCCTTACATTTGCGATTCTGACTCTACGCTTTAATGAATTTTGTATACAGATAGCAAAGAGTATGCTTTTAGTGTCAGCCTTTCCCGTCAGAAGGTATTTTGACCAACTTTTGAGAAATGGTGTCCGAAAAGCAGGTCAAAATGAAAAATGCTCCAAATCTAACATATAAGTTATGAAATAAGAGAATAATTTTCTTAGAAATCCTAATCTGCAAACTAAATTTCAATCCGACTTCCGGTTCGGAAGTAATGGCGTTTTTAAGTTTCAAAAATCGCTATTTTGGTACATTACATGTTGAGTCAATGAGACCAAAGAAATTTTTGAATTGTAAAAATTTGAGATGCAGTCTGAGAACATGCTAATTCAATGAAAACCCAGAATAGAGGCTCAAAATCTAATTTGCCTCAAAACTTGAAAACTAAAAAGCATAGGTCAAAATCTAGGTCAAATTTATAGTTTTTCCTTATTTCTGCGATTCTGACACGTATTACACTTTAATAATATTCTTCGAAATTTGGTATACAGATAGCAAAGAGTATGCTCATAGTGTTAGCCTTTTCCCGTCAGAAGGTATTTTGACCCACAAGACATGATGTCCGAAAAGTAGGTCAAAACGAAACCTTCTCAAAATTTAATGCGTGAGTTGTGAAACAAGGGTAGGATTTTCTCAGGAATCCACATCTGCCAACTAAATTTCAATTGGACCTCCGGATACAAATAAAATAAATGAAAGCCTACAATAGAAGTGGCCCTCCAAAGCTACTTTAATTTAAAATTTGGACACTGAATGACACTGGATTTTTTCCCAAACTCATTTTATCTAAAACAGTTCACATGCTAAAGGTTGTTGGAATATATTTTAAAATTTGAACCAATTTTTTCACTTTTAAGGTGGATTCCGGCTATGGTATTAATGATTGCGAAATAGGGATCGAAATCAGCCACTGCATTTCATAATAAACTGGTAATTGCTAGACCCGACGGAGCGTATTGGGAATCTCCGCGTGGTGTAGTGATAAATTTTGAACAGAGAATAATGCTAAAAATGTAGACGCAGCGATGGAGGTCTTTAATAGACTAGATGAGAGTGGAAAAAATCTTGATTTACGCCATTAAATATTCAAAATTCAGTCAAAGCGATGTTATATTTGAAATCTACATGTAAAAGTACATCTAGAAATATGGTTTCGAAAATTGTTTATCAAGTTTGAAAATTTAATTATTTTTGAAAGTGTGACTTCTAGTTCGGGTTGATTCTCCATAGAGCCCATGTTACAAAATCACAAAAAGTGAAATATCCTTTTTTGTATGGGTCAGATAACATTTTCATTTACTGGACATATTTTGATTTGTATAACTATTAGATACATACGGGTTATATGAAAATTGAACCACTAAAACAGATGTAATTTAAGTTAAAGGGAACTTTCTACTATACCCACCATGCTATCTGACCCGAACGAGCCACCTGGTGGTGAAACTGGTAACTACCTACTCGCATCTGCGTTATTGGCGTATACGACATGGTACTCTGTATAATAAAGTAATGTTCCGCCATTTTTGTTTTGCTTTTTATGGAACGGGTTTGAAGAAAAAGGGTGCAGTATACAAGACTCGCAGTCCTTGATTTTCAAACATCCTGTATGTCCAAAAATTAACTGTTTTTCGTAGCGTAGTGATTTTCGATACGTCACGAGAGTTGGACCCGCGTTGTTTATTTAAATTCGTTTTTTGCCAAAATATATACATTTCTACATTAACTATTCTGTTTAACAGTACATGGTGTAGTAATTTCAAAACAACAATGGTGAAGCTTTTCAAAATTCAAAAAAGCGTTTTAATACATTATTAATATATTATTTATCTTATTAATTTATAATTATTCACCTGTGCAATTAAAGATTTTTTTAAAAAATGTCGATTTCCTTGTTGTAAATCTTCTATAATCCTCCGGAGGGATTATTCTATAAGCATTCTTCGGATTGAAGCCCAATTGTCTGCACACGACTTTGTAAAGATTTCCTGTTATAAATCGACTCACTCCTCCCCAGTAGCCATAATTCTTGATTTCCACTCTGCCAGTGTAATCATTTTTGCCAACAATTCGAACTTCTGTTGCAATCTCTAAAGTTTATTTGAAAATGATAATTATTAATTCAAGTTCCGATGATATATTTCTGCAAAATAATTAAAAAATACATAAAAGTAGCAGTGTGTGCCCAAAGTCTAAATACCACACTTATACTTCTGCTTCCTAGTCAACTCATACCAAAGACAATTCGTACCCAAGACTATAGTGAAAGGTTCTATGGCATACAATAAAATCAAACACTACTGTATAGAGAAGTAGTGTACTAGTACTCCCATGGTTTGGTACCAATTGTGTAAATACAAACCTGAAATGACATTCAAATGTAAACTTATGGTAAGACTACTGGTTGGTGAAGGTGTTGGTCGTCACACCGAGCCAAATGTGAATATGGTATGCCCAGTGTGTAATTCGCATGAATAATTGAAACATTTTGTTAAATCTTGCGATGTGCTGGGAACAATTAGACATCCTTAACGACCTTACTTACGCGGAACTAAATGTAATTGTAAATATGCTCAATATTCTAAACGTCCTGCACCTAAAAAGCACAATGTATCATATGTTTTTAATGAAATCTCCCATTTACTAATTTTTGACATATTGTGAGACTTAGAATCTTCACATTATGTCTGCGTAATGGTAGATAATTCCATTCCATTTTGTACAAGATATATTAAGGTGTATCAAATTATATTAAAACAGATCGAGCGAGTCCTTCATTGCTGTCTACTACATTGTACAACTTCAAATTGTGAGATCAATCTACATTTTCGTAATGAACAATTGTTCTTACCCAGTGAGTAACAAATGGTGACCCATCTTAAATCACACATAATGATTGTGTGATATCATGTTGACTAAACCCTAACATCACAATTGTCCAATTGGCAACACACCGAGAAAGGCAAAATGTTTTTTGTCACAACTACGCGTTTGGTTACATTGAAACACATGACACGCATAAACTCATATCCTCCACTTATGAAATAGATTTTTGCGCCATCGATTCTCGCCTCTTACCTTATTCACTTCCGATCATTTCGTATAAGAATGGGAAAGTACATGCACAAATGATTTTATATCCATTGTAGAATGATGCAGGATTCTTTATTGCAATTCAAACATAACACTGATGAAGTAAAACATAAAGAAAACATTTATTGAGAATGTATGATATGTCACTGAATCAAACATACCAAGTGTGTCAGTCTCACAAGTTCATCATCGGTTTTAGGTTACAGCTTATGTTTTGGACTAGTTTATGTTTTAGAAATATTTAATAGGGGTGGTGAGTTACAATGTATGTTCCTTTGAAAACTATTTAGAAGGTTTCGCCTCTAAATATATCATAGAAAAGTAATCTAATTAATTTGATGCAGATTTTTACAATAAAATAATGAAAACTCAGTAAGAAAATAGTATCAATTGAAATGCACACACTAATGATATGCCGTCTCCCCTTTTTAAGAATAGCCCAGCTCAACCCGTGCATGTATCAAAAATTAAATGCACAGCAAAATCATCTTCATACATACATCAATAAAATAAGGCACCGAAATGCTCTGAGCTGATTGGCTGAGACACACTTGGCATGTTTGTATATTGTTTAAGGTTCTTTTGATGTCTCTGCATTAATAGTTGCATGTTTGTGATGACTGGTTAATTGTTTGAGGATTGCAACATCTTTGTGACGTTTGGTTACCTCTTTGAGAATTGCGACATGTTTGTGATGTCTGGTTAATTGTTTGAGGATTGCAACATCTATGTGACGTTTGGTTACCTCTTTGAGGAATGCGACTTGTTTGTGATGTTTGGTTACCTGTTTAAGAATTGGGACATGTTTGTGATGTTTGGTTACCTGTTTAAGGATTGCGACATGTTTGTGACGTATGGTTACTTGTTTGAGTATTGCGACATGTTTGTGATGTTTGGTTACCTGTTTGAGTATTGCGACATGTTTGTGATGTTTGGTTACCTGTTTAAAGATTGCGACATGTTTGTGACGTTTGGTTACCTCTTTGAGAATTGCGACATGTTTGTGACATTTGGTTACCTATTTAAGGATTGTGACATGTTTGTGATGTTTGATGTTTCGTTACCTCTTTGAGAATTGCGGCATGTTTGTGATGTTTGGTTACCTCTTTGAGAATTGTGACATGTTTGTGATGTTTGGTTACCTGTTTGTGTATTGCGACATCTTTGTGATGTTTGGTTACCTGTTTGATTATTGCGACATGTTTGTGATGTTTCGTTACCTCTTTGAGAATTGCGACATGTTTGTGATGTTTGGTTACCTGTTTGATTATTGCGACATATCAGGCTTTGATATAGCTTGTCTGTACACCTTCTGATCATAGAGATTTGCAGTCCGTCCCAGAGGTGTGAATAAGTAGGTTGATCAATGGAAGTAGCATTGTCTCCCTGTGCTGTAACCTTGAATCTAAATGCCCAAACAGATACTAGTGGGGGACGCCCAAATGCATTTAATCCTACATAGTAAGGATTCAGTGGTGTGACTCCAGCCATCTCACAAAGGGTGTTCATAACGAAGGCAGAATTGTCCTCAGAAACTGAGTACATAGGCGAATAGCAAACAGGCCGCCATGCCCATTTAAAGAATATCTCCAGTCTTCCTGATGTTCCGGTAGTGCTTCCTGCTAGTCTTATTCGGGGCTCGCAAACAGCTACTGCATCCGCTGGAAACTGTGTGGTCGGAAAGGTTAAGGATCTCGAGTAAAATCAAACAATAAAAGTATTTATAATAATATTTCTATTTAAATAAAGATTGAGGCTTCCCTACCAGTTTTGTTGAATTACATTGCACGGTTCCTCCTAAAACATGTTTGCAATCCTTTAACGAATCTTCACTTCCGTTGCAGTTAACATTTGTCAGGGAGTATCCTTGTTCACCTCTACCATCTGAAAGATAAACGAAGATTGGAGCATCTACATGTACACATACTCCTTCGAAAACATTTTATTGTCATACATGCAATCGTATATGTACACTGGTACTCGGATCACCTAGTTATGCTGACGATACGTCAGCGTAACAAGATGGAAGAACTTCCGGGCTTCGTTTTCGGTAAGATATTTTTATTTCTCGATTCTACACCACTCCTAAGTCAAGTTGTGGACAATAATTTGGCTCAAAGTTAAGGAAGATAGTCTAGTTTGAGAATATGCAGGCGATTCTATGTTTGGTATATTGACGAAGACGCAATTTACATATTTAGTCCCTCGCCTTTGTTACGTTGACGGTCTTCATGAATATTGAATTAAATGCTGACTACATAATGCTGGTATACTCGTATTGTGATACAACTAGTACCAAGTATGGTAGCCCTAAGAATATATTCACGGGATTTTCTATGATATATTTTAGACTTGCAAAAACACTAAGAATATACACTTACACCATGTAAAACCAACAATAGAGATTAAGTTGCTCTTCTTAAATCCAAGTTGTCTGCAAACAACCCTGGCATCTTTCAAGTCCCATCCAGCCTTGCATATTCCTCCCCATGTACCGTTTAAGTAAACTTCAACCCGTCCTTCTTTCCTGTTCCCACCAATTAATCTTACTCTATAATCTTTGATCGCAACCTTCCCTAAAATTACAGAAACATCAGTCTCCTAATAAATGCGTGAGATTTGCTTATATTATATCTCATAGGATATGAGTCAGACAAAACCAAGCCTCCAAAGTTATGTCGATTTATACTCATTTTTTATTGTTTTAGAACAAGCATTGTTTCCTTCCTTTCTCTCTCTTATTACGAACGTACAACAACATCCATAAAAGCTATATACCATAGTAGCCCGGACAGAATTGCCGGGTCACTTTTTCTTTAAAGGTCGAGTGCCCGGAAATATTAACACTAGTACAATTGAACATGTTGAACAACTAATATACATATTTTTTGTGGCTTGGTTGAATGGCTATGAATCCCAAGTTCCGATGTGTCTCATCAAAAAGACGATAGAGTGACAAGGATTATGTCAAGCGGAGTTTATCATTTTTGTGCAAATTTTCTTCTTGGATCGAAAAATTTCATTTTAATTCGATTAACTTACGAAAGGTGGCAAAAGGTCTAAAGATAGGTCATGTGACACAAAACAACGAATCATATGACACGAAAACAATGATTCATTCGCCATATGGCATAGTTAAATGAGGTCAATTTTACGACAAACGAAAATCGTTTAGCTCAGCTTCAATTTTGCTCTCGCAGTCGAACGAAACTGAAACTTCTTTCGTCTATATCTAGGTGAGTGGTTTTTTCAGGCTCCGGTATTGAAGTAAGTTCAGGTCGTATGCATTATTCGGGGCAGGTTTGAGGCACCGACGATTTATATTGGAGTTTGTAGTCATGTAGTTTGCTGCTTTGGTATGAGGTAATTAGAGAGATTTCGTACAACTTACAATGTATTAACGTATACTTATACTTATAAGTAAACGTTTCATAATGTGGGCATTTCGTCAGGAAAGATCTTCTCGGACTGTAATAAATAAAGGTCAAAGGGATGCCACGTGTACTTTCTTGAATTGTAGCATGTTTAGTTGATCCAAATGTGTTTGTCTAGAATAAAATAGGCTCATATATCGTACATATGTTATAGACTCATCTCTTCTCAATTGACTTTTTGGAGATGCTCGTTATGAAACACCCTGTATGTCATTTGTTGAGCTGCTGAATGGTTCGTTTCCAGGAATTGCTAGAACCTACTGGTTTGATTGGTGTTTCAAATTGATGGTTAAAGTATTTGATTGGATACTGTTCTTACTCAGCCTACTCAGGTCGCAGGACTTAAAGTTTTGTGGTCATTCCATTGTTACCCGTTGTGGATTACTAGCAGCCTTAGATCGTTTCACTCGTGCAACTATAGGGTAATGCTGCTACAGTTTTTAATGTCTTTCCAAGGAATCGCCTCTTAACCCATCCTTGGCATGCATGTGAATTGTTCTTCAGCTTTTCAATGGCCTCTGAGATGGCTGTTTGGACCACTTGAAAAGATTAAGGACCTACTCTCATCACACCCCGCACATTGGGGCGCCACCTTTTTCACATCCTCTTGAACACGACCCCGAACATTTAAATAGAGTTGAATTCAAAAATCTCAGAGGGAGTTAGACTTCTTGTATTTGAGGATTTTTCAGTTGCTGTATTAAATCAGGATTGTAACGGTGGAAGCGCAGCATGACCCTATAGGCCTGTGACAATCTTTAAAATATTAACTCTCAACAGAACATTCAAATTCACGAAATATGCCGCCATTTTGGACAAATATGAGGCAAAATGATGAATTATGTATTTGCGTCAGTCATACGATTAACACCTATAATATCAATTCTAATATGATACGTGACGTTACAATAAAATTCATAAATGCAAATAGTTGTGTTTCTTGTCTGTTTATCATATTAGAATCGTAACAAAGACCTCGATTTCGGTCATATATATATATCATATATTACGCCATGAATCATAAAATCTTGGTCTTTATTCCTTAATTAATCAAGAGGTGTTCCTATTAAAATATTTCGTGTATGTCAGAATTTTACTCTAGTTTTCAAATATGTAATCAGATTTTGATACTACTGAAAATTAAAAAAGTTATTGGAGAAAAGGTGACCCTTGTACAATTCTTTCCGGGCTACTATCTATGTTACTGAATTACATATAGTACATGTACTTACCTTTAACTTCAATCATATACAATGATGATAGCATGAAATAAAAGAACTTCATGTTTACTGGACTTGTCGAAGTAGTCAAGTCGTGAAGACGTGTCTAGTATATATAATTTTTATTACTTGGCAATATACATACACCTGTTGCACATCGTGACTATGTAATGTTTCTATTGTCATTTCATGTTTCATGATCTTCATAATTTCATATTTTTAGATATTAACATATTAACGATTTGGATCTTACAAACGCGATACGTTGCCATTAATGTTTGCTAATGTATAACCTCATCGGAAACAATAATTTTAAAAAGTGTTAGCAGATGAATCTTGTTTATAATTAATCTAATATGTTCATCCATCTTATACATGTTTATGAGCATATCTTATCAAACGGAATGAAAGCAAATCTGTGCGAGAAACAAAATATTTACATTTAGTTTTACAGTATCGTAAAGTTAAACAAAGAGACAGCAATAAAAGTGAGATAATGCAAATGACATTTAGCTTTAATGCGATTCATGCTGCAAAGTTTTATAAACATCCAGAATCGTATTGTTAAGTCCTTCAGAAATAGTTACTTTGTTTATTTTTTATTTGCTTGAAATAATGGCTACGGACGAATTCTAGTAGAATCTGCCTGCTGGTAAAAGAAAGAAACGGGTGGCTACAAGAAACATTTTGCAGGAGTCTCGAAGTTCAGGACCCCAAACCCAATAGAGTTTGTCCGTAAAACTCGTAAAGAGTTCCTTAAAAGTTCCAACACAGTTTAGCCCGCAAAATAATGAAGAGCGTAGTAAAAACTAGCTCATGTAACCGTGGGGTTAGGCTTTTTGGTTTTTGCATGACGATGCGTGGTACATTTTTGGTCTTTTATCTACATTATTAATGTGATTGTTTGTATTGTTTATGTGCTTAAAATATTTAAGTGTTCATATAATTTTTGCCTCAGCAAAATAAAATATCCTACGATCTGGCTGACTTTTGTGTTCTTATTACGGAGGTTCATTAACATGGAGTAATGGGCCATGGGACTTTAAAAAACTGTTCCACTTGTGAGGTGAGGTGTTCCACTTTGCTGGTTCTACTGTACAGATCATTAAATGGAAAGTGTATTCAAAATTAAAGACGAAACAAAATGCACGCATAAACAGTGACCATTTTATTTCATAAATCCCCAAATAAATATTCTATTTGGTTTTGGACATAAATTTTTCGAGAAACTCCCTTATTCTGGTGATCAAAATAAAATATTTCTGGGTGTCTTGTCTGCTGAAACTCACACTATAGGCTGATCCATTAGTGTCTGTGTTCAAATATTTATTCCATGTTATTAAGAGGACAAGTGAATTTTATCATGGTCAAATGGAAGCCCATGAACCCAACCTAAGCAGAAGAAATCAAATAGTGTAAAAATATTCTTTTGTTTAATATTTTAAAGTTTTTCAAATAAAATAACACATGTCATATCGCATTTATATCTTTACATCGTAAAATCCATCACATATACGAAACACGGTCAAACTGAAATATATTTTTCAAAGCATATGGGTGTTCTGGTGCCTACAAAACCTAATTGAATCGCCAAGAGCCTTTAATATAAACACAAAGTAATCATTTCAAAATAACCGTAACAATATATTTGAAGTTTGCGGATCTAGTCGAGTCATTACTCACGCACTTGTAATAATAGGCGATCACTGTATACTACTGTATACGGTGATATTATACAGGGCGTATCAAAAAAACGCAACAAGTAGTTATCTCGTAAAATCACAAAACTAGTGATGACTACATTAATTTCATTTAATTTACCATAAAGCTATGTCTCTCCTCTTTGCAATGATATGTCATTCATTCACATGTGGTAATGGATGGGTGAGAAATCCTTTCATTTGCACAGTCGGTCAAAATCGGCTCTGCACCAAGTTTTAGATATTGAAAAAATCAGTGCAAGGGCTAAGTGCCAATGGAAGTTCCCCTGACTTGAATTGTTGTGACTTTTTCTTTTGGAGCTATCTCAGGAGCATCTTTGCTCACAATTCCTCCACCAGATATTGCAAAACCTCGAGAAAGATTTGCCCATGGGCTGCTTTTCTTTACTTTAACCCACACATGATTCAGGGCTGAACCATGCATGAGGTGGAGTTTCAATGACGCACGTATTTCTCGCTGCAAGCAGGATGAAATTCTTTGTCACAAAGTTTGGCATTTTTTATAAAATCAAACGCGCATCATTGAAACTCACAAGATGTAAATAGCATGTCATTTACATCATACCTTGATGGGGAAAAATAGATCTTATATGTTAGAAGTACTAAATAAAAGTTATCGTGAAAATGAGACAGCCGTTCTCGAGAGAAAAGAGCATAAATGCGCATTTAGAGAGTTTTGGTTCGTTTAAAAATCTTTAAAAAATTGGGGTACTTAAAAGCATCGGGAGGCATCATATATTTCAAATTAGACACGAGGAAGTCAATATTGAGCAAGTTATGTCTGTTTTTTTAAATCAAAATAAAACCGTTAACCCGTACCGGTCCAGCTTTTGACCCGTACCGGTCAATTTTCGTTAGCTGCGTATACCAAGGGTGGTATCATAAAAATATTAATTCATGGATTTTTCTATTTCCAATGTTGATTGCCAACCCTGCACACAACCCTGGCATCTTTCAAGTCCAATTAAAACTTGCATATTCCTCCCCATGTACCGTTCAATAGGAAGCTTCTGTTTGATGTTTGTCTCCCCCGATTTAGTTTTGTTTCAATCCCGAACATTAAGAATTTTCTGTTCAAATATCTCACACATACTTAATCTGACCATCTCATAAATAGTACCTTAAAAAGATGTCATAATATCATGTATGCTAGAATATAAATTAACAACTTACCCGCTTTAACTTGGAACACGTACATTGATAAAATTAAATATAAGAAATGCATCCTTCTTGTCCGAAGCTCTCTTGTTGATCTCGTATAAAGGTGCGAATAATGTTACTCAAATAACTACTATTAACACAGTGTTAGTGCCCATACGATTCAATCATGCATTCAGCTGTTCCATTACTGCCTAGGTGGTATTTATCATTTAATTAATGTGAATTTTTATTGTCCTACGAATAAAAGAGTATAAAACACAACATTTCAAGTTGAGAAAACCCGTTCATTATAATTTGTTCAATAAATTCTCCCATTTGTTGTCGATAGCATGTTTTATAATATGAAAGTTAGATAAAAGGGCAATTCACTTACCTCAAGTATATAAGCATTTGCATATAAATACCAATGGCTCTAAATACCTCTAAATAAATAAATTACATTACTAACATGGCATATGACGTGAACGAGATCACACCATCAAATGAAATAGCTAGACAATGTATGAACCAGGAAAACTGTTCTCCTATTATGTTTACACATTTGAAGAAAATACGTTGGCTGTGGTTTACTCGAGTCTAAACTAAAGCCCATTCTTGGCTAGAAGTAATTCCATCTTGAACACAATGAACTTTTGTAAAAATTCTAATCGGGGTTCAATAAATTTAAGTAATATTCTAAAAAACCGTCATGTTAATATTTCATGAATTGAGATGGAACTGGCTAGGCTCCTTGATGAGATATTGCATGATT